AAAGGCTTACTACCTAACTCTTCTTCCACCTTGCTGAAGGAGCTAGGGAAATCACTGTGTTCTGCATGGGCCAGACAGCCACTCACATCAACTCAGGGAGTTCAGAACATGCTGGGCTTCACACTCCCACCCCTACTTCTGCCCGTTCACCTCACCTCTGGCAATGACTTGCCCTAGGAGTTCCCCAGGGAAGCAGGCTGATTTGTCTGGCCAGGCAGTGGTTGGGAAAGAAAGAAACCAGAGCTATCGGGGTGGCTGGCCTAGCTTATCTGACTCCCTCCCTGCCACTTGGCACGGTGAGCTTCCTTATACAGCTGTGCTCTGCCTCATCCCTCTCATGTCCCACAAACCATCTGTCCCAAGAGAGAGCTCAACAAAGTGGGTCTCCCTCTGGTCAAGAAGCAGATCGCTTTCCTGGCCTGGGTGGATGCTAGCAGGGAAGGAAGAAGAGGAATGTTAGAATGAGGCTGTATGTTGAAAGTTTGTATATTTTTCCGAACGCGTTTTCTCTAGCAAGAAGGTGACTTTCATGGGGGAAGAGAAAGAGGAATCTAAGCTAACAATTACAGTATTTAATTGATTATAAGATGTCTGTTATTTTATATACCACTGAAAAAGAAAAAAGTTGCTCATTAAACTGTCATGCCACTGATTTTAAGATGCATTCCAATTTTAGTGATGTTAAAATGTGAAAAAATGTGTCTAGAGTCCATGAAATAAACTGAGGTATCACCTGTCCTACAAACGAGCACCCACTCACATACACACCACAGACTGCAACCACACAGGGCACATTAAGGCAGAGTGGGTATGAGCACAGTCAAAAGCCCACTATCCTCTGTGCTCTGAGAACAAGCATAGCAACCAAACTCTCTGGAAATAGGAGCCCTTTGCACTGGACAGAACTTTGCGAAGCCCTCTCACGCCCATTGATCTCACTGGATTCCTCATAGATGTCCTGTGAGGCAAGCAAGACAAGGGTATTTATTACTGTTTTACAAGTGGAGTTCAGAAAACGTATGACTTTGCCAAGGGCACTCGGGACCTGAAAGGGAAGAAGTGGGACAGTAGGCCCTGCCTGCTCAGTCCTGCTAAATGCTGGTTTGACTACTACAGTACAACCGCTATTATTTAGGAAAGGGATAGAGATATAACTACTGAGGTTGTAAATGTCTTTTAACTCCTTTTCCCAACAACATTATTTACAAAACCTCAATATACAAGACAGAATATAAGTGGAGTTGTTCTTGGCGAAGCAAGGGGAAAGGCCAGACCACCACCCACTCTACTCCCACGCATTCCCACCTGAAGTGGCTTCTGAGGCACCGCCCCAGCATCACTGAGATGCTGAGGAACAATCTGGAAATCTCTGGAGCAAGGGAGCTTCAACTGTATTGGTAACGTTCTTTTTCTTAAGCTGGATTTAGGTATTATTCTTGACACCTTTTGGTATATCTTAAATACTTCGTTGTTTTAAAAGGCACTGCTATAGACGGTCAGGTCAAAGAGATGATTCAGAACCTGCCTGGAAACTTGAAAGCAAAGGAAGTTTGCTTTGAATTATGAGCCTGGGTGAGGCCTCCGCACTGAGATTTTGAAAGCTCTCCAGGTGATTAATGTGCAACAAAATCGACAACCCGCTGTACTGGAGTTATCTTGTTAGCTCTGACATGCTAGAAATCTGAGTGTATGTCTTGGAATTCACAGGATGGTTCCTCTGTTCTCAGGGGACAGAATACTAGAGAGCCCAAGGTCTTTCTAAAAATGCAATACCCATAAGCACAAGCCTCCTGAGTATAGAAAAGGGACAGTAATGGCAGGTTGGCATCACCTGGGCAAGCCCCTTGGATGGAGAGGGGAAGTGTGGAAGGGAGCAGAGGGGCCTGCTTGCTGGAACAGTGGTGGGGCTGAGAATAGGTTGTTGGACAGGAGAACAGCTCTGTGATTCATGCTCGGCCCTGTTTCCTAGCAGAGATGTGTCAAGGAAGCCTCCACCCCCATTGCAAAGACCTGCCTCAGTGTGAAATGCAGAGACTATTGGCTGGCTGAGATGTAGGAGTTACTGAAAGTTACCAAGTCAGCTGCGGAGGGCATCCATTAGCCACAGGAGAAACCTCTCCCTACTGCTTCCCTGGCTTTTAAACCCCTTTGCCCAGCAGCCCAGACATCCCAGGTGTGCAATTCAGATGCTGGGCAGGGTGCTGATTGTAGGGAGGGTAGGTTCAGGCAGTAACAGAGTCACTGACTTTTGACTACGTTGGACTTGCCTGTGGCCAAGGTTAGCAAACCACACATCCTTTGAATAAACCATTCCATTTTGTCAGGCTGACATCTGTGTATTTCTGTTCCTCCACTGGCTTTGGCAAACCAGGACAAGGGAAAAGCTCATTGGGGGATCAGGTTGTAACCATCTCGAGCTGCTTCCTACCCTTCACGGGGGTAGATGACACATTCCATGGGCTGGTGGGGCTATTGCCATGCAAACTAACTCTGTGTGCCCCCAGGGCGGAAGGGGTCACTCTGGTGGTGATTAATAGCTATCAATGATATGGAAAGGCCTCTGGACACCTTGCCCAGAGGTCCAGGGAAGAGTCAGGTGGAAGAGTTGCTGCTGGTCTCAGTGCTTTTCCCTCACAATAGTGCCTGTTCATCCAGGACACCAACTATATAGAGCCCTGCAGAGAAGCAAGATGGGGCCCCTCAGCAGGAAGCTTGAGGTGCCTGGACAAAGGCATCCCAGCCCTATGCAGGAGAATTAATTGGATGGGCATGGCTTATGTAGCCTAGGGCTCTCCTTCAGAGAACACTGGCACCTCCTACCATATTTTAGCACTCAGGTATAAGATCCTTGTTCACTGAAAGGAACAGGTCCTGTGCCAGGGGCTGGAGGATGAATCAGATCCCACCTGTCCCTCAAGGAGCTTAACGTCTACGGAGGGAGAGAGACCAGTAATGAATCACGTAAGAGGGAGGCAAATGGTGGCCAGAGTTAGTACCAGGTGCTGTAGGAGTACAGTGGACTGGTACCTAACACAGCCTGGGGCTCAGGGAAGACTGCAGAGAGGAGCTCAACTTTGAGTGGAGGCCTGAGGACAAAAAGGGAGAATGGGGAGCTGAGGAAACAGCACAAAAAAACAAATGGCAAGAATCTGGGAAACGGCCTGGCATGCCAAATGGGAGTACATCCCGCTGCAGCGAAGGGCCTCTGTGCAAGCTGCTTTTGGGAGTGCGGGGCTGAGGAGATGCATATGAAGATGCTTACAGAGCCCAGGGCTGGTGTGTTACCCGGAAAGCGCCAGGGGCCCAGGGAAGTGATGCAGATTTGCATTTGAAAAGACCGTTGCCTGCAGGAGGGAATACACAGTAGAGTGGGGGTGGGGGTGGGGATGGCAGCAGGGGCAGATACTTTGCCCAGGGTAGAGATGGCAATGGCCTAGGCCATTGGCTTTTTCAGCTCTCTTCCTCAAAAGGAACACATGGGGAAAGGACGTGAACCAACTCTCCTCACCTTCTCTCCACCAGTCTCTTTCCGTCCTTCCCCTTTGCCATATCCGGCCCCCTTTCTTCCGTGCCTTTCAGCTCTGCTTTGAGGCTACTGCTGGCAAGCCTTGATTCCTTTGTTTTCTGCACTTCTGGGCCTCTCCTTTCTCTCTCGTCTTCCACGCCACTGCCGGCTCTTCTTCCACTTCTATAAAGACCGGGGGGTCCCTAGGCAAGGGGTCTAGCCGGCAATGCCAGCACACTGGAAAGGCAGAGGAAACTGGCGGAGGGTAGAGAGCATGTGAGCTCTGGGGTCTAACAAAACCTGCTTTCCAATTTCAGCTTGTCCATTTATTAGTGAGCCTTCATATTCTCAGTTTCTCCCTGCCAAACAATGACAGCATTGCCCGTCAGATAACCGTAGTTTAATGGGGATTCTAAGAGGTAACAAGGGCTGGGTGCAGTGGCTTACGCCTGTAATCCCAGCACTTTGGGTGGTTGAGGCGGGCGGATCACCTGAGGTCAAGAGTTCGAGAGCAGCCTGACCAACATGGAGAAATCCCGTCTCTACTAAAAATGCAAAATTTGCCAGGTGTTGTGGCACATGCCTATAATCCCAGCTACTCGGGAAGCTGAGACAAGAGAATTGCTTGAATCTGGGACACAGCGATTGCGGTGAGCTAAGATGGTGCCATTTCACTCCAGCCTGGGCAACAAGAGCCAAACTTTGTCTCAACAACAACAACAACAACAACAAAGAGGTAACGAGAGGGACTTAGCTCTGTATCTGGCATGCAGTTGGAGCTACTACTTTGCTGATAAAGAACCTGAGGCAGCAAGAGAAGTGACTTTTCTAGGCTGCCAATCTTCTAGTTCACGATTGCAGGGCCCTGCCTCATTCATAGCCTGGGTAACCAACCACTGGCAAATGAGGAAATGCACCTGCACTGGCGGCCACGTCTGTCTAGCTGTGTCCCCTGTAGAAACAGCAGCCCTGGCGAAAGCCTGAATAGGGCCTCTGTCCCGTGTAAAAAGGGCCAATCACAGTCAGCACGGGCTGCTCAGCCGGGAGCCTTGGAAAAGCAGGTCTGTTTCCAAAGGGTAGGCTATCTTGTGCATGGTCCGACCCATGCTGGGTGCAGGCCTGTGCTGAGAAGTGCTGGTGCAGAGCTGGCCTTCAGGAAATTTGGGTTGAGTGGGCCTGAATGTGTTTGCCTTCTCCAGCTCAGTCATCCAGCCTTGCCCAGTGCGCTTTGGGTCCCAGAGAGCCCAGCAAATGGGCCTGGCAGACAAGCCCTGCTAAGAGCAAATAGTCTGATGGGTCCCTGGCAGAAGTAGACAATGTGTGGGTATTCAAGGCCAACCAACCACACAGCTACCAGGACAAAGCTGTGCTGAGACAGCCCAGCTGTCCTTTGAGGGTCTTCCACAGTACGGAGGGCCAATGGCCCCTTTTGTCTACTTTTCAAAGCAGAGGGCCTTCTGAGAGGGTTCTGGGAAGCAAGGCCAGGACTCCTGGGTCTCATAAATCTTCTAATTAACAGTAAATGAAGAAAACATTATAGCAGTAAGTCCCATGGTGAGGGTTCCTTTTCATTCAAGGATCTCCAACAACAGAAACACTTGAGACTAGAATGCAGAATGCTAAGTAAACAAATTAATGACCATTTATTTCCAAAGGCAACTGCAGAAACCATTTCAGTACAATCAAAAGATTTTACAAAACAGAGAAAACACATTACAAAACGCCCCAAGAGGTGAGCAAACTGGTGGGGTCACAGAGCACGCAAGAACCAGCCTTACCCTGCTGCTGTTGAGGGAGAGTACAAAGACTGGTTCTAAAGAGAGCCACTGTGTGGGGTTTCAGGGGAGACAGTGAGGGGTCTGTCCAGTGCACAGCAATCCCAACTGGAAATTGAGGAAGGATGGGGTTAGGGGAAGAGGGGCAGAGGCATTTGCTAAGCTCCTGGAAGAAACCATTACAGATGAGCCTATCATTCTCTTCACTACAGTAACACCAATATAAATGAAGGATTCATTAAAACAAAACACAGCATTGACACCAAAAGAAGCAAGAGTTTTCGAAACAACAGCTTTTTTTGAAATGACTTGTTTTGTTTTATTTTTCATGGGGTTTCTGTCTGTTTCGTGCCATGAGTAGCAAACCAGTGTACAAAAATGTCACAGACGAGCAACAAGCGACTAGGTTTTCCTGAGCCCAAATCAGCTCACTCTATGTACATAAGAGGGCTGCCTCCCTGTCACTGACTCTACCCAGCACAGAGCAGGCAGGATGGGCAGTTGGGGGGGAACCCCTTCCCAGCCTGGGGCCTTGCCGAGGAGCGCACGAGGGCCTGCAGGAAACCCGCCATAATCAGCATCAGTGTCTTCTCTGAGAGCATCACACATGGTCCTTTTTTCCTCCTCCCCTACCTCCCCTTCAGTAGAAACCGGTAAGAAAACCCTTTTCGGGAGGGGACAGATAACTCTGGGTCAACGTCTACAAATCCAGAGAAGTATTTTTGGCAGAGGGAGTGGGGAAAACAGCCCTTCTGCTGCCCCCTGAGCCACCTGGCTCATCTGCAGGGCACTGCCCTGAGCAACAACCAGTGCACAGAGACGTGCTGACAACTTGCACTCTGTGGGGAGCTGTGCCCACTTCATAAGACACTGAATTACCAATGATTACAAATATAAAAACCCCAACATAGGCTACAGCAAAAGGGATGATCTGACAGCTAGACTGAGCTACTGTACAGTAAAGTTCGCCGATCGCCCTGGTTAGCCCAGGGACCCTGTAAGTAGCTTCTACGAATGCGATGAAGTTCGAGGAGAGAGAGAGAGAGAGATTGCTGACTTAGGAAGACTGAGTCTGTGGCTTCAGAATCCCGCATGCCCTCATAGGTTGACAGAGGAATATGTTACTGTTGTGCCTTTGGGAGGAAGGTGGGTCAGATCATCTTTGGTGAACAAAACCAAATACTGAGGGCCGGGAGGACCCGAAGTAGGCGTCACTGGGTCTCTGCTATTCGGAGTGGATGCCACAAGTTGGCCAGCTCCACAGACTATACTCCTTGGCCCACATCCCTGGTCAAGGCTACCTGGGGGCCGGAGGGAGCACTCTTTTCCCTTTCCGAGGCCATTTGAAAGGAAACTGCCCTCTTCTACAAACACCCTCATACATGCGCAGAGCTCCCACATGCTGGCAAATGGCACATGGAAATCTGGCTGGGGAACCGGCTTGGCACTGACAGCAAAGCCCTGAGGAGGAGCTGGGAAAACAGGCCCACTGGCCACTGGGTGTGCAAGCTCCAGCTTCTCCCTCACTCTTGTACCAAAGCTGGAGCAGCAGAGGGTCAGCATTGGGCAGATATGTGGGCTACCCTGTAAGGCAGGTTGCCAGGGGTCTGGTTGGGTTCCTTCTCTCCACGTTGGCTTGGCCCAAGAAAAGAGTGAGATTCAGACCAGTTCAGATGCCTGCCGCTCCCCAATGCCCCAAATAGAGGCCATGGCTCCCTGTGAAGTCTATTGACTGGGCCACCTCTGTTCTTTCAACCTACATGTTTCTGAGCCAATCTGGCCCCCAAAGCCCTGCATGTCCCCTTCACTTCTTCCTTCCCCTGACAGGTGGACCTGTCTCTAGCTTGGCCATGCCAGGCATGTGGCCTTTGCTTTCTTCTCTCCTTCCAAGCACCAGAAAGTGCCCTCCAGAATGGGGCGCTGAGCTGTAGCCAGAGCAAATGTAAGCTTGTGGAGGCATGCCAACATGGGGAAAGCTCAAGCTACTGGGCAAGCTGTGCCATGCCACAGAAACGAGGAGGAGGAGGAGAGGGCCTACACAGTCATACCGCCTGACATTCCAAAGCTAGTGCTCAGTTGAGGCACAGATCCTCTGCTGGCAGCAACTCCAAGTTCTGGTGGAGGACAGGCCAGGCCCTCAAGGGCTCCTCCCACAACCCCCTTCCAACTTCTCCTTTTGTAGAGGCCATAGGGCACTGGGGCCTTGTATGTTTCCTCATCTGCCATTCCTACATGTAGCAGTTTGATAATGGGCAGGGCCAATCCAGCCATTCAAGAGGTACCTCTCCTAAAGGGCAACCCTAGGGTGAGAGGCACTTAGAAAAGGTTGGCCCTGCCCTCAAAGAGGGCCGAAAACAAAGCTTACACATCAAAAGGAGCTCAGGGTAATAAGAGCACTTGGTGTTCTCCCCTCCTGCTCCCCAAGCCCTGGGGACTGATAGCCTCAATGTCTGCAGGCCTCTGCAGAAGGACAGTCCCTCCCAGGGTTGCTTCCTGTAGGTCCATTTGCTACAGTTACGACCACTGAAGCACTGAAGCTCAATGTAGCTCTACCACGGTCAAACTGGAAATACTTGAACTGGCCTAGGTCAACTGTGTTGCCTAGAGTGGGAGAGGGGAAGGGAAGCTCATCAGACAAAGTCACCAAATGATCTTTTCTGTTCTTAAGCAAATCTGTTCCTAGTGGAAGTCAACACAGAGTCAGCAATGTCCAGCCACTGCCTGCCTTCTTGAGGTCTGTGCATAACTGAGCTGAAGTCCTGCAACAAAAGCTCCTCTTTGTGGAGCACCCGAACCTCCGCTCATGAGGACCTCATGCCTTGGCAGCCCCCTTTCCACCTAGACATGGGGCTTTGGGGTAGAAAGGATGAAGAGGATGTGACGTCCCCCATATTAAACAATTCAACACTGAGTCTGACTATGCTGAAGAAATCTGGCCCTAGGGAAACAACACTGGCAACAGCTATAGCTCCTCAGACCCAGGATGCTGTCATTGCCTGTCAAGCCAAGAAATGGATCTACACGGTCTTCCAGAAGTGGGCCCTGATGCAAGGATTCTCCAAACCCAAAAAAACAACCAAGCAGCCAATTCCAGCTCATTCTTCCCTGAAGCTGCCTGGGGGCAGGAGGAAGGGGAGGTAGGAGCGGAAGGGACAGAGCGAGGCACTCAAGATTAAAATGGTATCTATTATCAACATTTACCTAAAATGGAGTATATGATTCAAATCACAGTTTTCTATGCTCACTTCTGATTGGGATGCGCATCAGTTCTCAGCTCTCACAGGCAGAATTTACACAGGTTGCTGCCTAGTACTGTATATATCTTGACCCTCTTCATTTTGGATTTGTCATTGCAATAGATCTCCAACTCTCTCAATGGAATCTAGCCCTTGGGCTGGGTGGTGCCCTCCCCTCCCATCCCAGGCAGCATCCTGGTGGCTGGTTGGCTGCTGGCTTTGAGTCATGGGACATCAATGAGAAGAATCTGGCTGGTTCTGTCTTGACCATGAGCTGGGAAATCCCTCTGCTCTGGGCTTCCTGCTGGTATAGAAACAAGGCCTCAGTCCCCTATGGTAAGGTCTGTGCTGGAGACGAAATGGGATGCCAGCATAAACCTGGAGATCCCTGGCAGTGGAGAAATGAAATGCAACCCAATCTCATTGCTTTGATGCCAAAAAAAAAACTACTACTTGTTGTTCCCTTTCTCCTCAACCAGCTGTTGTTAAAGCACCGACAAGCAGAGTGAAAGATCCACTGACTGCGATCTCCTCATGTAAGGCCACTAGGAGCAGAGAGAAAGAGCCAAAGGGAAAGAGGAAAATCCAACGCCCAGCACTACATGCCAGGCTCAAGGAGACATCCTAGGGAGAAGAGCTGAGGAAGGAAGAGTGGTAGAAGAAAGGGACAGAAAGGAGGAAACAGAAATATGCCACACATCCTACTGCCCTCTCCCATGATTTCATCAAGAACTGGGTGTTCTCCAAGTCAAACTGGGACTTGCTTCCTCAGGGAGAAAAAACAAAAAACAAAAAACAAAAAACAAGCACCTTCAGTCTATTTTCTTGGCTGGAAGCCGGAGCAAATCCAGCAGATATTTACACAAGGGCCCAGCCATGTATGAGAACAGGATGACCAGCTTCCCGTGGGTCATGGTCATGAGAGTCTGGTGTCCCGAGGCCCAGATGCGATACCAGGGGCCGTAGAATGGGTCTGAGATGGCCGGACACAGCATGTTGTTCAAATTCACTTCGGTGACCTGCAGGGACAAGGGAGGTAGAGTAAGCGTTCACCATCCTTAGGCTTTCTCTGGCTTCTGCCAGTTCAGCCATCTCTACCTAATGGGGGACTGGACAAGGAGGGATTGACCAATCCCCACCTGTTTATAAAGGGATTTCTTCTCTCCCCTTGGTTTTCTGAGTGAGTCAAGGCTAGAGCCCTCTGGAGGTGATGGGGAAGGGCTGTCCCATGGAAAAGCTGTTCAGTTTCGCTTACGGTCTTGCCTTCTGTTTGGGCCCAGAGGCTGTTGCCATTTGTGAACATCTACTATGTGCCTAGTCCCCGGAGAGGTGTTATAGGCTAAAAGTACAGCCCACAGCGTGGTCCCTGCCTCCACGTAATTGGCAGTCAATCAAGTGTGGGTGGTCAAAGGTTTACTATATCTGACCTCAAACCAGACAGGGTTCATCCAATTTTATACTTCATGAGGAGGTCTGAGGAGCATACAATATGGGGGCTGAGTCCTCAGAGAAGATTTCATGATAGAAGTGGTACCTGAATGGACTCATGAAAGATGGATGGGGGGTTATGGTGAGGAATGGGGTGAGGGGAGCCGTCCCTGTAGGAGGCATGGCCTAAGCATGGTATGTAGGGTGACATGAGCACACTGATGCCTCTGGAATCAGGGATCCCAGTGGAGAGCAGCGAGTGGTAAGGGTGTGAACATCGAACAGCTTCCTTCTGAGAGCACAGGAAGCATCACATTTTGGCAAGGAGCTCAGACTAAGCCCCCAGCAAACCAGAGCAGCGCCATACACCAGAATGAAGAAGAGAAAGTGACTGCTTCTACAAAGGTGTTGGGGACATCGGTCACACGCCCTAGTCATGCTAGGTCACGCGAGGCTCCACATTGCTAATGCTCCGTTATTGCCGCTTACACACAAAACCAGACATGCCACACCTGTCCCGAGGACAGTTATGGCAGCTGCCTTCCAAAGCCCTTCAAGCCTGTTCACATGAAAAACATGTCCTCACCACCTCTCAGGGAAGTTGGGGCTTTTATACCATGTCACAGAGAGGTGGAGAACTCTGTGCCCTCAAGGGTAAGGTGACTCTTTTAGAGCAGTGGCAGAACCAGCACTTGAACTTGGGTCTCCTGACCCCCAGCCCCAGCCCTGAGCTCTTCCTACTCATTTTGCCACTGATATACACTCTTGCATTCAGCAATTTTGGGCTCTGAATAACTCAGCTACTGAGTCCAATCATTCTTCATGCTCCAGGAAGTTCTAAACACCCCAGAATGCCACAGGATTTCCCCAACACCACACTTCTACTGGATCTGAAACTCAGAGAAAAGCCCAGGCTTCAAGGCCTATGAATGGGCCCAGGATGGACCCAAAGTCAGAAGACTTCCCCCAGGCCCAGGGCCAGGGTCAGGGTCCTGCCTCCCCATGGGTTCCACAGCAAACCACTTTCCAGCTGCAGCTCACTGTTTCTGACCCAAGTGGCCATGAGTGAAAGGCATCCTTGCCTCCCCAGGGATGAAAGAAACAGTCATTACTAAAAGACTCAGAAAACTCTTTGGAGAGGCCAAGGATGTGAATCTATGAATCATAAATCAGCAACCCAGACACAACAATCTGACATCCTGGCCTTTAGCATCTTGTATTTTCAAAACAAAGTGATACGCCAGCGCCAACCAGGATTATCAAGATTTATGAAGAACTGCAAACAGAGGGGATAGAAGGGGATATAACCAAACTTACCAGGCCGAGGATCTGCAAGACGCCGAAGTGATAAAAGAACATGAGGCCAGTTGAGAGAAGAGCCCACCGGAAACTGCTGAGGGGCTCTGGAGTATAAGCACCTGGAGGAAGAAGGGAGACAGTGAAATGGCAGGAATAGTGACTCACTTCTCCTTTGCACCATGAGGGTGCAGGTAGTGAGGTCACAGCTGCTGCCTGATGACTGTTCCTTCTACTGATCAGTGGCAACTACTCGAGACAGCCCTACTGATTAGCTGGGTACTCAAACCAGCCCCTTCCTGCCCTCTGTTTCTGGGGCCATTACAAAGGGAGGACTTTTTTTTAAATCATAAAAGTAGTATGTATTCATTAAAGAAAAATTTCACATGAGTTTGTCTTTTTGGTCATTTTCTCTATGCCTCAGGATTTTTTCTTTCCTTTTAAAATTAATATTTGCAATCTTACTGTACATATAACATTATATATATATATATATATATATATATATATATACATGTTATATATGTTATGTAAAAAACATGAGGAAATAAATGTGGGAATGAAGGCTATACATGTTATATATAACAGTATATATATATATATATATTTGCAATCTTACTGTACACATAGCAGTATATATATATATATATACACTGTTACAATCTTACTGTACATATAACATATACATATATACTGTAACAGTATATATATATGTTATATGTACAGTAAGAATGCATATATATATATATA